AAAATAAGGTAAAGTTTGTGTTTTCTGTAAGTCAAAGCTGAGGCGATGACACACGGGTTTCTACAGACAGGGTTCTCTATGATTCACAGAATAGATTCAGCCTCAGTGTGACCTAACCTGCAGCTGTTTCTTATCCACATCCCTCCATACTTCCTCCAGCTGTCAGCATGAGTACCGCCCTGTAAGGGAACAGCTCCTCAGATCACTCAGCACTAACACCAAAGCAGAGCAGGGACCAGCAACAGAAACTGTCTGACTAGAGATGACTTTATAATCCTTGATGTGACTCACCCAGAGTTAGATTTTGTGTTCAGGCCAAAACTGGATTAAGAAAAGACAGAGAATAATTATGGTTTGCAGTGAAACTATTATATTGCTGGTGAAACTGTATTCTTTAAGTCATAGATACCTTTGTAAAGCCTCTCGCATCCTGTGCATTTTGTGGTAAACAAACACAAATATCTCTGCTGATGCAAAATTAAAAGAAAGAAGTTTAAAACCCAAGACTACTGTTTTAATTATGAACTCATGTGAAATATTTTAATTGGTATTCACTTTAATTATAATGCATTTAGCAAAAATAACCAAAATATCTAATTCGAATGTTAATATACTGTACTGAGAGCTATTACTTTAGATCAGCATGTTGTGATCAGCATATGCCAATGAACATGGGCTTAAACGCAACACATGCAGCTTTTTTTTCTGTTCTATTTCGTTAATTTTTCCCTTTTGAATAACTGAACAGGATGATTCATGATCATATTTTAAACATTATTATTAAGTATGATGATGTAATGGTTACCAGCTGGTACGATAACTGGTAGAAATGCACACTATCCATCAACATTTATGTAATGGAGAATAAAAAATAAAATAAAGATGTAAATTTGAGGTTTTGATTAATTGTTTAGAGATATTCTTAAAATATTCAGAAGAAAAAACTGGTAAAATATGATTTATCATCCATCTGTGAAGTTATGCTTTTATGGATCTGACTTCTTATCCAGGGATAAAGCCACACTGCATCATAGGGCCCACTTTTTAAGAATTCATTATCCCAGTAAGAAAAAAAGTTTGTTTTTTTGGCCTTGAGAGCTGTTTTTTCTACAGTTGAATTCTACATAAGTATCAGACATATTGTTTGAAACAGACAGGTGGTTGTTATTTATTTAAAATTTTTTTCTGAATTTTTATGCAGTATTTAAGGGTATTGAGGTGTGAATGAGATAACTGACTAAGATAAAGGCCAACCCTAGGAATGTCCACAGTGTGTATGGTTCTTTTTGTTATTGTGCTGCCATCTAGAGGTGTATTTTGCCCATTACAGAATGCACAAAAACATGTATTTTACAGTTTTCCTGGAATGAACAGCCTGTCTGTCTGTCTGTCTGTCTGTCTGTCTGTATGTCTGTCTGTCTGTCTGTCTGTCTAAAGCAGCCAGATGTGTGCGTGCTTGCCTCTCAGCTGACTAAGTTTCACTGTTTGAGTCATCTCCTCCTGCACAAGATGATGTCAGTCAGATGGCCACTAATGAAGGGTTTTAAACCGTAGGTGATCATTGGCATTGCACATGTGGTTGAGAAAGCTGACAGCCAAACAACTGGTTTAACAGATGAAAGAGGTATTTCAGAAAGATAACGTGTCAAAGACTTAGGTCACATTTGACCAGGTTTGAATATATCCATTTATATTTCTCTAGTGTTTGTTTGTTCATCAACTCTTTTTTTGGAGAATGATTGTCATCATGCAGGCAAACTTTATTTGCCTCTCTGATGAAGATGTAAAAAGACCCCCCCAAAAAACCAAAAACTACAACTAATATTGATAATCATTTTTATTATATTTGTTATTGCAACTTTTAAACATGGTAATTGAACTTGTCCACTGTATTCAAAACATCCTTAAATGGGCTTCTGCTTAGTTTGCTAGTTGCTGATAAGTATCCTGCTCAGGGTCTGACAGAGAAACTCTGTAGGATTCAAGGAACTTGTAGCCTTTCTAGGATCCAAGTTTCCTTCTCTAACCACTATGCCACAACTCTCTTTAATGACAAGTCCCAGTTCATCACAATCAACACATCTTACCTCATGTTCCCTATCGAAATAATTAGTCCATCATATCATATTTGTTTTCAAAGGATATGGGATTTTATGGATTAGATTACCAATTAAAAGTATTTTAGCCTATTTTGAAAAGTATTAAAACATATATTCCTAATGATTGATTGTTAGGGATTTCTCTTGTTAATGCTTAGCCGATGAATCTAAAAAAAAAAAAAGTTTCACACCTTTGTTTTTTGGTTTTCTGTTAAATCTGTATTATTATTATTATTATCTGTATTATAAGTATTTTTTACAGACAAAGCCCAAGAGATATGCTCATTCACCATGTTTAGCCCTTCGATCCCAAACTGCATGTTTACTGATGGCTCTAAGAGCGAGAGACAGATCCTTTAGTTTTTCAGGCTCCTTTCCCGTGGAACCCAATCCATAATGCAGACACCCAGTCTACTTTTAAGACTAGGCTTAAAACTCTAATTTTATTTTATGAAGCTACTACTTAAGAGTGGCTCAGGTTTCATAGATAAATGACTATAAAGGCTTAGGTGGCAGGGGGGCATGGAAACTGCTTTCCCTCACTCTGCTGCATCCTATTTTTTTGCAGTAGCTCATCAGCTGAGCTGCTGCTGTTAAAATCATGTGTTAGATGATACGGTTAAAGCTGTTCTTCAGGGCTTAGTCCTATTTCTCTCTTACATGTACTATTGGCTGAGATTTTATTGCAACTTAGTGCATTTGCTCTGTTGTGCGCTTGGCCTGAAAACAAGAGTTCTGCAAGTCAAAGACTCAATGCAGTCTGCTAAGTTCTAGAGAGTAAGGCTTTAACTCATCTGTGGGGAGGATTTCATTGGATTTACTCTGTAAGGTGCCAATTTTCTTTTAATTTATTTGAGCAAAACTCAAAGGAGACATACATTTACTACAATGATTATAATTTCAATTCAATTCAATTAAGTTTATTTATAAAGCGCCATTTCACAACATATGTCATGCCAAGGCACTTTTCAAAGACAATTCAACCAGATCATATAGTTGGATTAATTCAAAGTTTTTTTAAGGAGAACCACTTGATTGCATCGACTCATTGACTCGAAGGCAGTCCCTCAAACCATACACGCTTGTAGCGACAGTGGAGATAAAAAAAACTCCCTTTCTGTTTTGTTCTTTGTTTTTTATATATAGGACACAACCAATGTGTTCCTTTTATTTAGATGGAATGGAGAACTGAAATATATCTAAAATATGTGCAGCAAGAATCTGACAAGGGAAGAAGGATGAGGTTTGATTTTTGTGACAGATTTAATTTTTCTCTGGCACTTTATAGCTGTTATAACAAACAGACACAATCTTGTTATCACATTGAACAGACAGGAAAGTTAAGATTTGAAAGGATAAAATTATAAGAAAAAGCACAAACAGGAATGCCAAGGCTTTTAAAAAGTGACCCAAATGATGCTTTTGAAGGTTAATCTTTCAGAAAAGGATGGATATCATTGGTCACTTTAGCATGAGGACAACACCTTCTGCTGCAGAGGGTGGTGCAGGATGTCTGAAAAAGCATTAATGTAAAAATACTGTTCCAGCTGTAACTGAGCCATAACAAGTATAACTCAACCAACTAAATCAACAGTGTCAAAAAAAAAAGAAAAAAAAAAAGAATTTTCATATTCTTTAAAGTGGCAGAAGAACTTTGAGCTTTTCACAGAAACTGGAAAAAATTTCCATTTTGGCAGTTTTATCTATGATATGGCAAAACACAGAAAAGAAACATAGAATACACCGACACAGCAAAAACACCTCCACTTGATGATTGATTCAAGACATTAAAAAATTCAAGCAGAATTTGCTACTGCAAACCAAGCACACAAACAGAAATTATCAACACAGTTTGAAACAAATAACTACATCACACTTGGCAAATACTCACAAATTAGCTGAAAAAAAAAAGCTCAAAAGATAATTTTTGTGCAGTTGACAAAATGAACAGATCAAAATTCATGAGTTTTCCATCTTTTTCTTTGTTTCAATACTGCCATCTGTCAAAAACATCTGTGACATAAATCATGGCACATTTTGAGTCTTTACTCACTTGTTATCTTTTAAATGTCCTTCTTTCTGCGGTCGTTTATACATTTTCTACAGCATAACTAAAATTATGTCTAATCTGCTGCCCTTTGAGAACTCCTTGATGTTGGCTAACAAAATGAAATGAAAAAAAACTTGGCAAAAGCAGGGAGTTTATTTGCATTTAATCTTTCTTGTTCACAGTTCATTCTTCTTTGAGATTCATTTGTTTATTGTTTTAGCAGTTCACTTGCTTTGGTAGATATAAATCTGTCCTAGGTTTAATAGACCAGGAAACTGGACTAAAAACACAGCATTTGCTGTTAAAAGTTCTTGCGGTGACACAAACCTTTTGGTATGTTTACAATGATTCACTGATCATTCAGCAATAGTAATAGTGTCCACCTTACCCTTATATAAAATGATCATTTCAAAACTTATAGTGGTTGCATATTGGAATATGAAATGAACATTACTTTATGAATGGTATTGTTTTTTTTCACTGTTTAACTGTTACAAGCCGTATGCAACGGAATGTCGTTTTGTATACTGTGCATACAAGATAACAATAACGTTTGTCTAAGTCTAAGAATATAGGGAAGAGCTTAAATTCCAGATCTATCTTATTAGGAGGTTGGTTGCAGCAGAATTGGATTAGATGAGTGCCTAAAACAATTGTTTTTCTGCGTCCATAATAGTTCCTGTCCAAGAAACAGCAGGCTACCCTAAACTATGGTGGGTGACATGTTGTTCTTATTCCTTGAGAGTTCAGCAAGCACCAGAATCATCTCCTCTTGGGAGGTATGTAACAAAAAGGTGTTGCCACCAGAATGGCAATGGAGGTGGTGGTGCATCTGCACACACAGTAAAGCAGAAAAATTTGCCTCTTCTTTCAAAGACAAAGGTTAAGTTCAGACTGTAGCTTCATGTCATCAATGCACATCATGGTGTTTTTTTCAGGAGGGTGAAGCACAACCCCCAGAACACAATAAGTTGGATTTCAAGAAGGAATATGATATAATTTAATCATTCATTAGACAAAAATGGGTCATCATTAGTCAGAACTTTGACCAGTAGCAGACATCATGTATGGCAGAAGCAGCTGAAGTAAAAACTTCCATGAATAATGACTCTTACAACCAATGAAATATGTTTAGTTGTTTGTCAGATCATCTAGAAACATGGTAAAAATGCTGAAATCACAAATTGTATCATTTGTGTCACTGCAAAAGCAACAAAAATCTTTTGGCTAGTCAAATTATAATTTTTTTCATTCTTCTCGCCTGCAGTAATCACATATTTGGGACATAGAATTGCTTGTTTTAATGCATTGTAAAGAATTATACAGAATTCAAAAGGAACATTGTTTGACCCTGATTGGACACTAAAGGTACCAAAAGAGGTTTAAAAAAGTTTAACATAAACTTTTAGGTCAGCTTTCCCCCCAATTATTATCAGATTATATGACCTTACATTTTAGAAATATATCGGCTAACGAAGTATCATTCAAAGGTAGAAACAAGATCAACAACTGCAACCAATCACTTAAAAAACCTCAAGCATCAGAGCTGATGATCAGTAACATATATTATAAGTCCATACATTGTTTTTTGAATCTTTGAAATATTTCAAGCCAATATTCACTTCAATGCTTTTGTTAAAAATTTATAAAACATTACAAAAAATAACTACACAGTCAAGAAACAATCATTTCCCACTTTAGGGACTTTGTCAATCTTATTTTATTTTTATACTTTATACTTTAAAACCGCAGATTTTGACATCTACTCAGATACCCTGAGTGCATTTTGAAAAATCACGATTCATTTATCAAAGTATCGACCCAAAATAACCTGACCCTGTGATGAAGGAAAAACTCCTGACTTTCTTTAAATTATTACTTGACAGTGATAAACCCAATTTTTGTAAACTAAATTCAGTTTTTACAAGCTACACACCTATGCCTGATTACTGCCAGACCTGTGGAAGCAAAAGATCATGTTGATAGAACCTATTGGACAACATGAAGTAGGAGAAACGATCTTAGGAAACAAAAATCATACCCAGATTTCCAAAACATTATTTAGAGAGTACAATGCAACTGGTCACAAAAGAGCCCAGAACAACAGCTAAAGTGAAGGTAACTGTTGGCTTCCACTTGAATCCTACATCGTTGAATACTAGTCTGACTAAAATGCAATATCACAGACCATAGTTTCTCCCAGCAATGTGAGGGACTCATTTTTTGATGACAGCTGTTGCTGCAAAAGCTGGGACAAAAAGTAATTAGATTTAGAAGGCAATTACTTTTCATATTAACTTTTATCTTTGATAAAAGTGTCTGAAATAGCAAAAGTAGAAGAAATCTAAGGAGCAAACACTTCCTCAGTACTGTTTACTGTAGCAGACATGTCTGTAAATCTAAAGCTCACTTCTTTGCTTCATTTAATATAAAGTATTTAGAGTTTAGTAAGACCTTTAAACTTGGATGATTAACATGGTTAGATTCAAGCTTTTACCAACACAAAATCACTGTTTTAATAGTCAACAGTTTTGGGAAAAATGTGTTAAAAGAATACAGGCGGTGTAAAATATATCTTTGAGCCAAAAAGTACTTCAACACAACGAGACAAAGCACAAACGAGAGCAATAAAATTACAGTAAACACTTTAAACATCTTTATCTGTCTTTAATATTCAAAGCCAACAAATATTGTAATAAGTTCATTTTAACCTTACTGTTTGTGACGTATTGTCAGCCTTTGTCGTGACTCTTACTGCACTTTTTTTTTCTTCTTTTTACCTGCAAGACGTCTGCTTTTAGAAACTATAAGAAATGCAGCAAGTCTCTTCATATCTACAGTAATTACACAAAATGACAAGTGTGACATTCTCAGTTCAAATCTCTAAAGTTCACGAGTGATGTCTCCATAATTCTGAAGTTTTGCTCTGTGATTGCCGACACTGTGAGCAGGGGACGCAGTGCATTCAGCAAGAATAACTGTTGCTTTACCCCCTCGGTCCCTTCTCTGCCTCCTGCTGAGTAAAGTTAAAGCAGCCCGGCTGGGAATCACAAAGCTGAGACTTTGACAATGTTGGTACCAGCTGAGCTTGTTGTGGTCTGAATGCTTGGAGCTGCTGGGTGACCCAGAGGAGGGGGCGGCCTTCTTTGCGGCGGCCCGTGGAGGCCATCGGCATCAGGGGTTAAAGCGGGGGGCGTAGGGAGGCTGATGATGGCTGTGGTGATTCGGCCACTTTTACAGTTGATCCTGTTGCTCTCATTAGTTCTCAAGTTGAGGTTTGAACGACTTTCAGAGGAGAAGAAAAAAGAGATGATTAATGATTGCCTGAGATTCCAGCTCCGAAAGCTGTTAGTGTTTTCTGTTTTACTTTAGTGTAAATGCAATATATTTGCCAAAAAATATTACATCTGAAAAAACAACATATAAATCACAATTAGTATGCTTGTGATTTAATTTCTCAACAGTTAATTAAATCAAACCCATCCCTTGGGTCAAAAGAATTAGCTTTCATAACACAGCACCATACAGTACACACTTCAAGTTTATTTAATATAAACTACTTTTCTGATCCTTAAAGGTATAGTCGAAAATGTTCTTTTTCCAGGTGGATCATCAAAATAAGTGGTCCTCTTAATTGACAATCATTCTGGTGATATGTTTACGTAAGGCCGTCGTAGGTGCTCATCCCCATAGGTAGCTATCTTCAGGCATATGCTCTTTATATCTGTGGTGAGCTACGGTTTCAGACAGTCATTGAAGCTTGCTTTTCTCACCACGGTTCTTTGAAAATGGCTGAGGGTCAAAAGAGGAAAGTGTCTGCAAAGTGTATGCGAAGTGAGAAAGGCCTCAGAACAGAGAAACAATACCAATTTGGGGAAAGAGTAAGTTTTACTTAGATTTTCTTATACTATTTGAATATTTAATAGCAGTACATACTTAAACCTAAAAATACTTCAGAAACTTTACTCTAAAAATGTAGAGCACATGATTGTTAGTTTGACTGGTTTCTCCTTAGGTGTGAATGCGTGCATGAATTGTTGTTTGTCTCTGTGTTGCCTTATATTTTTGAGTAAAATGCTGCTACGAAAAACAAGTACACTTTATTTAACCAGTTTAAATAAATCTAACTTACAACTTGGATGTACTTAAGTAAATGTTACTCAATCTGTTCATAACTGTTATGTCCTATGAGAGTAAAATTCACTTGATACTCGCAAGTGAGTGTTACTTGATATTGAAGCATTCAATTTTACTTAGATCATTTAAATTCAAATACTTACAATATATTTTTTAAGTAAATCTTGTGAGTTGTTTTATCAGTGTAGGTGGGATTCATTGCGTCTCCACACCTCCACGAGGAGAAATGGGCTTGTGCATGCTCTCAGAAGCATTTCATAGGTGTTGTCTCTCAGGAGGATACAGCGCTGTGAATGTGTTTTTTTTTTTTTTAGGTGGAGTCTTCTCAAAAATTTGCGAAAATCCTCCACTACACCTTTAAGAAGCATCAGTCAGTAGGATTGTGTTGTGATTCACTAAATAGTGCCATCCAGGGGTTTGTTTTGCTATTGCACCTTTTCATTATTTGGGTAAAGATTATAATTGTTTTGGTTAATCAGTGTACATTTTCCCTTTACCATTTCTGGAATTTTAAATCTCGTCAACAGAAGTCAATGTACACAATAAAGAAAGAGTAAGACATACGATCTGTAATAATTTTAAAATAGATAAACTACAGACTTTAAAATTCAGAGCTTTCTAACAGTATATTGTGTTCAGGAGTTTAACAATGTAGGGAATTTATTAGCACATAAAACTTAAAATATCAGATACGGTAAATGCTGCCAAATTTATAAAATAAACCTTTAAAAATGAAATTGCACAGTTGATTCAACATCCTCATACTTTATTGACACTTTTTTATTTCTGAATTTCACCTGCTTGTCTGTGCCAGTGGGTCACCGCCCTGTATGTGAAGGGCGCTGAGCTCCTGCGGCGGGCCTCGTTGTGATGGGACCGGGTTTGTGGGGGGGAGGCTGGTGTTTGGCAGAGGACTATTTTTCTTCCCTCTCGTGCCGCAGCAGGTCACTGCAGGACTGTCGTGGCTGGCTATTGAGGGACTCTGTGATGGATAGGTCTGCAATGCTGCTTTCATACAGTTCTGCTCGTATACCTGCTCGTCCACAAACTCATGAGCCTGAAGAGGACACAAAAAAGTTACATTTAATTTATTTTCAAATTAAAATGGTTTTTATATCTTATTATAGGGCCCATTAAACATGCAGTGCTTTAAAAAAAGGTTTTTGCCCCCTTATAAATCTCTGATTTTTATAGTTTTGGATAATTAATCAACAACTGCCATAAAGTGTTTACATTAACTAGCAGTGTTTTACACTTGTGTGGATTAGGACCTACTTTATGTTTTAATTTAGTCCCATTTTTCAGCTGCTTTGCCTGAATACCAAACCATCTCAGTTAATTTTCGATTCTAAACCTGGAATAGGTCATACCAAACCTGCTTTTAGTTAGTTTGTTCTCCATGCAGAAGTGTATTTGTTATTTGCTTAAGGTTAGGGTCACAAACTCATGTCTATATATAGTCCTGCAGCGCTTTTTACTAGAGCGCAGAATTAATGGTTCTGCAAATTATGACATTCTAAAAAGGAATTGCAGCCTTAGAAAACCGCACTATTGACTCTCAGTAAGATGCTTTACTAAAATACTTGTTAACTTTTGCACCTAATGTAATAGGTAGAACTCCATAAAAAAAGTTGCCTTTTGTCTCCAAAACAAAATTTTTTTCAAAGGTTCTGGGATCCAAGACTTAAGCCTTTTTGTTCTTTTTGGTTATCAGTTTTTTCCTTGAAGCTATCTTTTTTCCTCTGTTTTTTTTTTTTTTTTTGTTCCCTGTTGAGGATTTAAACACTGACCATAAATGTTGCAGATTAGATTTAGCGACCTCCTGTGTAAGTAATTGTTTCACTCTTAAAATGATTTTTGTAGGCAGTTTTTTATATATGGTGTAAAGTTTTTGCAATATAATTTATGAAAGTAATAAATGCAGTTTATACTCTAGCAGTTTTGAGCATTTTTAATCAAGTTAGGAGGTAAATCTTATAATATATAATATATTATAACACCTCTATAGCATATTTAAACAGCCATATAATACAAAACCAGGACCTGACAGTTATTCTCTGTCATTTACTCTATAGGTTGAACTGTGAGAGGGCTCACATTACTACCACTCACAATATGCAGGTCCATCTACATGAGTGTAATTCACCAGTCCACCATAAGGCTGGAGAAATACCAAAATAAAACACCTTTTTAGTTGCTTTGCCAACCTCTGATAACATGCATGACATTGTTTACACACAAATGCACAGCAGAAATTCCCTCTCCTCCGACAGCAGCAGCACGTCTCATGTTAACTGTCAAACTGTCATGTAAACATTTTAAGGTACTTCTGCCAACTCTTTCTTCCCGCCTCTGACTGACGCTCAGATTCAGTGAGTGGGTTAAACGTTTTGTCAAATTGATAGACGTCTCTAACTGCAGCAAAACTCCCTCAAGCCTGTTTTTAGATCAGCGTCAGTCAGTGTCAACACTTCCAATAAGGCAACATTAAAGGAACAAAAGCTGTTCATCACCTGTCAGAGAGAGGAAAGTCTGCAGTGCTGCTGAACTGCCTGAAGTGCCTCATGGACCTTTTATAATGAATATGTACTTCCAGTTTAATTACTTAATAACCTGTTACTGAGCAAGAGAGATTAGTGCATGTGTAAACCCTGGAGTTTGAGTGTTTAATGTAAAACAGGGAGGTGTTCTCACTGTGGTTTTCTCCAAACAGTGCAGCAGGTGGTGGTGTTGGCTCTCTAACAGAGAGGTGGACTTTATCAGCTTCTGCTCATCCACTTCTGAACCCTGAGTAACAACAGACAGATAGTTATCTCACCAAAATGAGTCCAGTGACACCTGGTTTCACCTCTAGCATGCAACAATCTGCTCGGTGCTTTTATGTTTACCAGTCATCAAGATTATTATTATCATGATTTTCTGATCCATTTAGCTATTTTCCAACATGAACACCATAATGATTTGAAATCTGTGTTTTCTTTTTTCATTTTCTCTGTGGCTAGTTGCTATAAAAGACAACAAAACTATTTCCATTTATGTATAACAGCAAAATGCATAATCACTAAACCAGAGATACTGCTAGCCTTCTCACTTAATTATATACGCTGGTGCCACACTGATTGTTGTTTGATACTGCATTCAGCTAAATAGTTACTGATGTCAGAGAGATCAGGAAAAAACCTTTGGAACAAGTGATGGAAATTTTTCTTCTTAACAGCACTTGTTTTTGAGAAAGCATCTCCAACAAAGCTTAGTCTCAAAGTAATTAAAATTGGCAAAAAATGAGGAGAGAAAATAAATTAATGATGTCCCTGTGGCTTGCATTGTTACCCAGGAGGGTTTGGGTACGGAGCTTTTCAGTCCAAGGACTCTCATTCTCATTCCAGGAACATGAACAATACTGTGATGTGGGCTGCAGAACAAAACAATTTCTGATGAGGTGATGATTTGTGGCAATGTCCTCTAAACCAAAGGTTTAAGGTTAGATGGTCCTTTATGGAGGGATAAATTCTTTTCTGCAGTCCATCTGGGATTCAAGACAGATCAAGGGATAAAAATAATACTTTACTGATAACTGTTTGATTTTTCCTCTTCTTATAGCCTTCTAATTAACCTTTTTTTTTTCCTAAAGTCCTTTACTTTTATTTAATCACGATGAAGGCTATTTATGGTCGCCTTTGCTCATAAATCCTTCTATGGATGATTGGGTAGTTAAGGTTTATTTTACAGTTTTATGCTTTCTGTAGGTTTGCAGACAGGTTAAATAAGTGGCCATTGTCAATTTTTTTGTACATTGCCCTTATAAAGGCTCCAATCATTCTATTTATTTGAGTAGTTTCTTAAAAAATGTACTTAAAAACAGATAAAAACAAGATTCAAATATTAAATATAATCCGTTTCACTTTGATGATTTTGATGATTTTTCACATCCTGCTGACAACAAATAACACAGCCTCAACCTATATATACTTGTATACCTGTGCACAGAGGAATAACTTCTGTTACTTGCTTGCAATTTAGGTATATATATATATATATATATATATATATATATATATATATATATATATATATATATATATATATATATATATATATATATATATATATACACATTAAACCATCAGAAAAATGTTGCTTCAAATAAGTAAATAATTACCTTAAAAAAATCAATCAATTAACCTTAATGAATCTCGTTTCACCCATTATTGCCCCAGATAGGTTCAAATGATCTTGACCAAACTTTTGGTAAAACTCCCTAGGATGTTGTTTTTTTAATACTTGAATCCCTTTTAAAGTGCATCAGTTTAATTGAAATATACAATAGCTTCTCAAAATACCTTATAGCAAAATATGTCAAGACCACCACAAGGTGGAAGTGATGCACTAAGCGGTCACAATGCTTTTAAAGTAATATATTTTGAAACACATTGTCTACCACAAAAAAGAAAGACATACAACAAAAACACCTTTGTACCTGAGAAATAAACATGACAATGGTACATTCCTTATTCAACAAACATGTGATTAGTATCATTATATGAGAATCAGCTTAATTTGATACCTATATATTTCCTCTATTTTTACCTCAACTTAAAGTTTTTAGAAGCACGCTAATCATGAATCAAAAAATGTATTGCAGGAAGTAATAAACATTTCTGTTTTTTTTTTTTTAACAAATCTCCTTTGATGAGGTGAAGAGCCCTGTTTACTGATATTTATTATACAAGTTGACTTCCTTCTTGCCAAAATTAGTGAGAATTATTCATTAGTTTTTTTTCTTAATCTGTGAATAGGAACTTCCTCCAAAGTACAGTAAGCCTACATGATTAAGTAAATAGCAATAACCAATGTGTGATATAATCTAAGAATCTCAGAATTGTTGTCAAAAAACAAGAAACCCAGCAGAAATGAAGTTATGGCAATGCTTAAATTGAGTCTGTTCAGTTCCCAACAGACCAATTTTGGGAGAAGCTTAAGGAGGAGTTAAGCAATAAAACAATAACCTAGAACATCACACAGGACTGATCAGTTCATCTTCTAAAGATGGAGAGTACTGCCCAACTGCAACCCACAAGTCATGATCTTCAATCTATAAAACAGGCTCAGCCTGAAGAATAATAAATACCATTTTCCAACAGAGCAGCCTTAAAATGTAAAGGTAGAATAACCAAAGTTGTTGTTACAAAAAACCTATCAGATATAAAATTTGGAATTTACTACAAGGCATATAAAGGACAAAGTGAATATCCGGAAGAAAGTGTAAGGCTTGGTGAGAACTAAAGTGCACTGTTAGAAAAACTCCGTGTGTTGTGAAAAACAAACCATGAGCTTAACCGAATCTGATCACAGTTAAATATGTCGGTAGCAGCTTCACCATGCTGTGGTGGATGCTTGTCATCAGGGCTCTATTCAAGGATGCTGAACTGATGGAAAAATGAATGGTGCTAACTTCAGTGCAATCCTATTAGAGACCTAAACATACCTGAGACTGGGGCTGAGGCTGACCCTGGGCGATGATCTTAAAAATAATAATAGTCTTACTGGGAAATGATTTAGATCAGAACATATTAAATGTTGAATGGCCTAGACCAAACTAAAATAGGGAAACAATAGCAAAATCTGAACTCTGTTTAAAGACATCCTCTATCATCTTACTAAATTCTAGCCACTTCAAAAAAAAGACAAAACCTTCTGTCTCTAGATGCGCAATACTGTTATAGGTGAAGACCTGCCACTAATATAACTGTAAAACAATGGTTAACTCAGGAGAGGCTTCCACAAGTCTTTACAGAGTCAAATGTAAAATGAAATGTGAATATGTCTGGGGAAGTTTAGTACATAAAAAACTGTATTTATTAATTTTTTTAGTCATAACATTATCTGTTATAGTTGAATGTTAACAAAGAAACGATGAGATAAAGTTGGTAAATGTAGGACTTTCATCAAAAATGAATTTCTACTTTTCAAAGAAAAGCATCCCTGAGAAAAGAAGACAGCATGTTTGGCTAACATGTGTTTAATAATTAATCCCTGCTCCTCTCCTTCATCCCTGCAAGAATCGGAATGCTCTGGCTGCTTCCAACAGAAAAATATCTATTATGATGACCTGACTCATTTGGACCAACACAGAAACAAAAATGTTCAACAAAAATTGATCCATGCGCAGCTAGACTCGAATCTGAACACAAAGGCAACTGTGTCACCCTGATATGAAAAGCAAATATCATGGTATCAGCATTCAGAGGGATAAAGCTGCAATAGCCTCCTAGAGAGGTCATCATCCAACTTGACAGTATAATCAATAAATCCCCCTCTGTGAAAACGAGCTCCTGATTTGTGTTACCAATAAACTGCTGTCAAGTATAAAATCACCCAAATGCAAACAGACCTGCTGTGAGCTTCTAATCTAGCTATGAGCTGTGAGAGAACCACTCATTATGTCATATATTCCACCTCACTTTCACCCTAGACCCATGAAGCGCCGCTGACTGACTGTCAGCAGTGACATCGCCGTAATTTGATGCACCAGGACTCTGGCAGCTACATAACAGACCCACACAGAGGGCTGGGCTGGTTTGCTCAGCACTCACAGATGGCATTTATATGATAATTCCAACCACTTCCAGACACCCAGGAGCTTTCACACTGGACTCGATTAGATCCAAATGGATTTTGGTAGCCATCTGCAAATCACGGAGTATGTCACTGAAAGCAGGAGTGATGCACTGGTCGGGAAGGATATGGGCAATTTGCTCATGCATTACCAAACACATTTTTTTTTCATGGTGGTTGCATTTTTTTAACGCTAAGTAGAGAAGCAAAAGGGAGCACTGATGAACATCTGCTCTCCCCAAAATTTGTTGAGTGATGTGTAGGTGGATACTGATATACCTAACAGCAAATGGAAAAAGGAATAGTTTCACAGTTTGAAAACTCAAACTTTTTCATGACATACTCAGACTTCTCAGGAAGACCCATAAAAGAAGTGCGAAAAAATGTGTGTGGATTTATGAATGGAATAGAATAGAAATACCCTTTATTGTCCCAGAGCGGTGAAACTCTAGTGATTCAGTGGCAAAGCAAATGGCAAGGAAAGCATAGGGGTACAAACAACACAATAAATTATGAAAAAGAATAATAAAAAAAAAAAAGTTATGAATAGACTGTGCAGAAAATAAGAAATGTTCCCAAGATAGAAAAACACTGTGCAATTATAAAAAAAAAAAATAAATAAATATAGTAATAAATTAAAAAATGTTCAGTACAATGTATAGATTTAGAATGACAAGATGAGCAGAATGTGAAATCAACATTTTTCTTACAGTATTAACCTTGAACTGTTCAGACCACTTATCTGACCAACGTAGCTTTAAACCTTTTCAAAGTTTAAAGCTACAGTGTGTAATAATTACAATTTGCTGGTGAAGATTCTAAGTCACCCAGGTCATAGTCATTCCCTAAAAAGTTAAAAAAGTTAAAAAACAAACCACTGGACTTTGTTTTCCAGGAAGCTTTCTCAATTCAAAATGTCTGGATAAGCGTTGAGTTCCAAGCTTTATGGAGTGGCCCAACAAAGCCTTGTTGTGGATTGGAAAACATGCAGATTAAACCGAAAAACAGGTCAACCCTTTAGTAATGGGGAGTAATTGAGGTCGTTCTTGGCCTGCAACATCCGATACTGGCCTATGCGTCTGAAAAGGGAGTTGTTAGGGTCATTCTTGGCCCGGCTGACCAGGCGGGATGTTTTGGTCTCCTGCATAGTGATGGGGGTTGAGATGATAGCGGCAAGGAATCAACTCTATTGCTGCGTTGTAGGTTTTTGAGAGCTGGAACCTGAGACCACCCCCTCTGTTTAAGGTTGGTTTTTCTCCCTTAACATAAATGGCTTCCTTTACACCCTTTTAAACCAACTCTCTTCTTTGTCCAAAATGTGAACATTCTGGTCCTCAGATGAAGGTCCTTTGTCCTTAAGGTGTAGGTGGACAGCAGAGTCTTGTCCAGAGGAGGTAGCCCGTCTGTGTTGAGCCATGCATCTGTGGGGGGGTTGTTTGGTTTCTCCAATATAAGGATCAGAGCTTTCCTCATTGCATTGCACAGCATACACCACTCTGCTCATCTTAGGGCTGGGGGTTTCGTCTTTAGGATGCACTAGCCTCTGTTGGTGAAGCATTCCTGGATCGCTCGCAAAACGTCTTCAAACTTGGAAAGCAAACTCCAGACTTTTACCTTTTTTTTTTTTTCTTTTTACTTTTTTGGAATAATTACAGTTCAAGTAGAACCACAGATTGAGCTTTGACTAGGCCATCCAAAACTTTCAATATTCATGTATCTAAGCTATCCATTGCAATCTGTCAGTGAACCTCAACCCCAGCCTCAGTCTATTGAAGCTCTAGCTCTGTGTTTACAGCATGATATCACCAAGACCACATATTACCATATTGATGGTGCATTCATGGTGATCTACAGTGTTGGTTTTAACACAATAAATTCTGCATACAGGCTAAAGTGTTAATTTCTTTTGGTGGTTGGTGTCAGTGTAACTTATTCAGGTGTATCATGGTAAGAGGAGCAAGATAGAAATGCATGCCACCGTTTTTAGATCCTTATTTGTTATAAGAATAGAAAACCAAACCAACACTTTGCTTCAAAATCAAACACAGCATCTTTATCGAAGACTGCGTTTTTCTTGAGTTTCTTTTTCTTGATTTGTTAGTTTTCTATGGACAAAACGAATAAATATTGAAACAAGAGTCTGTCTTTGAGAAAAAAAGGTTTATGTGTTTATTCGGCAAGCTCAGATGGACTCAAGGTTTCTTTTTTCTTTCCCTCTGGTTGTTTATTCACTTGCTTAGAGCGCACTGAAGTCATGTTTGACAGCTCCTTTGAAAATGGTTAAAAACAAATGATTTGTTTTCACTAGATTCCAGAAAAACAGACTTTTTCTAATGTTTAGGTGACAAAGAGTATTGGTAAGTAATCACCACTCTTTCCACCCTGTTCATTGACAGATTTACTGTCACATTTCCCCTTAACCTTTATTGTGCTGGTTATTTAATTATCATCAGAGGTCCTAAACAGGCAGTACAAAACAAATCCTATTCTCAGAGTATCACACAAAGGAATTAAATCAACTTTCTGAAATAATACCAGGAGAGGAACATAGTGTGATTATACTGATAAGACGGAGTATTATACACATAACACCCTCACTATCAGCAAAGCCCCGTGTGAAGAGAACAATTTAATGACTTCTGATTCGGATGCTCTTTTATAGCCTCTAAATTGCTTTTAAATTACTCTTTGGTTAATTGTGGTGATAATTGTTGGCGTTTTGCTTGTGTGTGCTTTTGTACTTCAGATGTGAAGCTGTTGCCTCCAAGCAACTGAGTTGCAATGGACTGAAATAATTAGCAGATGGTTGTTTAACTAGGAAACAATAATATTACAGTATAAACAATACAATTTGCTGGCGAAGCACATCAGTTTTATTGAAAACATCTGAAATGACTTTTCTTAGTTTTATTTTTTCTATCAAGTAGTGTCAGAGGGTTTTCTTACTGTCAGTTCCAGCAGTTCATTGAGGAGTCCGTTATGTTTGCTCTGGAGGAAGGCGTTGGCGCTGCCAGACTTCGCTATTCTTATCCTGGCCAGCCTGGTTTTCTGGAAGTGGGAAGAAAAAGAGGTCAGAATCTGAATTTGCTTTATTCGTCAAGATTTTGTGCAAAACCGAGTTTGAATAATAAAAAAATAATAATGTTCAGAAATTCAATACAAGTATAGAAACTTTAGAGGAAATAAAAAAATTTATAAAAAGGAGCAATGTGAACAATGTGTGTAAATCTACAGCCAAGCATTTTCTAAGGAACAGAGAGAAAAAATCTTGGTAACCAGCTCTCCAAGGTCCTTCACACATTCAAAAAGAGCAAATACGCATTTCAGCTCTATGCCATCTTTAGCTAAGGTCCTTTGTAGCCAGAAACAGTGCATTTCCAGCACACTAAATCTTTGCTACTAATGACTTCTGCATTTAGCACACTCTGGTTTTCTAAATTTTGTTTTTGTGTTTCTCCATAACCATGCACCAATCTAAACCTTTTTACCCTTTGGAGTCATGCACACTTATTTCCTTCTAAAGAAAAAAACAAGAACAACAAAGGAAATTGAGCTAATTTAAGGATAAAATTCTCCACAGATTGTATCCAGGATGTGTGGGGTCTGTGGAGATGTTGGCTGACCTTTTCCTGACCATAAATTCTATATAAGTTCTGGATTGAGGGAAGGTCAACCCCAATGAATCTCTCTGCAGACCATACATTCCTGAAACAGCCCATCTGCATCCTCCTCAGCAATCTCTAGATCAGGCAGTTGGTCAGAGTTGAGAAGGAAGGAGCTTATGGACTTGTTGGTTGTTGGTGCAGATAGTTATTTGTTTTTTGAGTTAGGTGTGAACAGCTGCTTTTAAAACTAAAGAAGAAGCGTTTGAAGGCATATAATCAGAAAAATTCTTATGTCATTTATTTAATGAACAGAGATGCCAACTCTTCACTAAAGTTTATTTCACAGGTATTAAAATACGGTTAGCGTTATTCTTCATTCATAAAGTGTAAAGAAGCTGTTTCTGTGGCATATTCTGTTTGTTTGAGCATTTTATTTTGAGTCCATTTTGCTATAAAACCTAGTTTTGCTGCTTTATGCGTAGATGCTGAGGCCTTGCAGCAGAGATGAACGTCTATTAAAACAAAATAGGAGAGTTATATTGGTTCCTAAAGCCAGGCTTAATTGGTCCTAATTAGTCAAAATTTGTCTTTGGGAATGTCTTTATGGCTACGTTCACAATGCAGCCTGAAGTGACACAAATCCGATTTTTTGGCCCATATGCAACCTGGATCTGATCTTTTCATGGCAATCTGAACAACACAGATCCAATTTTTTTCCAATGCGACCCAGGCCACTTGGCTATGTGGTCCTGAATCCGATACGAATCTGATCTTTTCAAAGGCGACCTGTGTCTGAACGGCCAGGTCGCATATATCCAACCTGAAGGCCATTAATACCCGACAAAGGTCACTATTCTGGGTCTTGCTATGAAGAAGCTGCAAGAAAAACAACAACCATGGCAGACAATGATGCGGAGATCAGTATTTATGTTTAACCATCTTGAAAAACTATTGAAACTATTTTAACTGATAATTTCATTTGTAAAGAGAAAACCATCTATTCAAACATTGAGCTCCAAATTAAAATTCAGCTCCAACAATTCAATTCAGTTAATTTATATAGCACCAATTCACAACACATGTCATTGCAAGGCACTAATTCAACCAGATCATACAGTCATATTGATTCAAAGTTTTCTATCTAAGGAAAACCAGTTGATTGCATCAACTCATTGACTCGAATGCCTATTCATTCAGCTTTTCCTTCATACCTTACTGAATATGCACTCTCATACAGCTTTCACATTGATTACTTTTCTTTTTCATCTGTTAGGACTCACCATAAAGATAATGACCTTATAAATCTGTAGGCTTGTAACATTTAAGAAGAAAAGTTCAGACTTCATTTTTATGGCTTTAGAGCTATGTATGGTGTCATGGTTGCTGAGCAACAGTTAAGCCAAGGTAAGGCTGGGAACTGAAAGCCAAATTCCCAGCCGCTGAATAATTTCTGGACTTTTGCTCTTTTCAAAGTACCCAAGGGGTATTTCATAACCCCCCCCCAAAACATGCCAGGCTAAGATGCCCCAAAAATGTAAAGTTCAGTCAGGTTCCATTCAACCCTGTCAGTTTGGTTTTTCCTGCCTTGAAAAAAACATCACAGCAACATGTTGCTGCTAAGGTTGTGAACATTTTCTGTGACAATTTTTGCTGCAACCTATGACCAAGTTATACCATTTTAACAAATATGCTATTTTTAAATGCTCAGAAGTCCACATCAAAACCCTTTTCCATTCAGTTTGGCATTAGGAAAGCTGTGACTGCATCTGCATCGTAGCAGGTAGCATGAGAGAGTGGAGATTGGAATTGGGACTTCATTTAGTTGCATTTTAAAAGTTGTGCGGATATTTACAATTTCTCAAAGTTATTTTTCCAGTTACAAGGATAAAGCTTTAATATATATATATATCAATTTAAATATCAACTTCATAGCCATTCCTGATGTATGTGAAAAGAAGAGGAAATCCCTAGACAAAGATCTTTAAACACCCAGTGCAATGTTTGAAATAATGCTCATTCCATCTGCTGATAAGGACATCATTTATCATTTCTCCAAATTACAATATATTACTATTATATTCATTTAAGTTACAAACATACAGTACACTTGTGTGCTGCATAAAAAATATGTCTACTTTTAGAAACCTTTTGTGAGACTTTGACTCTTAGAAGTTTAGATGAACCCTTTGGTTTGTGTTTAACATTTGCATAAATCTTTCTGTTTCTGAGACCAGATGATAGACTTGTTATAAGGTACTGATGTGATAACAGAACAAAAAAAAGAAGATCAATGGGAAATGAGAGGGGAGAATGGGATTGATCATTTTTTTTTAATTAAGAGGATATTAGGGTGACTTCCTTCAAGCTTTTGGACAGGAGAAGTTAGGAAGTTCTTCGTTGCCCTCTCATTCCAGTATAAACGTATTTTGCGAAAGCGAGAGACAGACAAAGCTATTTGTACCTCAAAGATGTGAATCAAAAGTAATGAAATTAGTTTGGATGCTTCAAAAGTTGCCTGTAAAACTCTGGATTCCTGTAAAGACAGACGCCTTTTTGTGTATTCTGTGTGTGAGATGTAAGAATAAAGCAGTAAGACCTATGAATCCTTTTTTCTTTGTTCTTATAGCTAAAAAGCAAAAGATTTTAAAAGCGAAAATTGTGCTTTGTTGCTTTGTGCTGATGTTTTTTCAGAGCATCCACTGAGCCAGTGATTTCAGGAAAAAAATGTGATAAACATTTGAAGAGAGTTCAAAGTCTGCTTGAGATGTTGAGGCATGAAGGAGTAGTGAGAGTATTACAGCTGGTCCAAAAATATTTAAACATCCAGTACGCTCGATTTATTTCTAACAAATCATTTTTGATTTAGTTAAAGTATTGAACAAAACCATAAAAAAACACTGTTTTTTGCTTCTGTACAGTGCTTGAAAGGGCCATTTTTAGAGGTGTAGAGGAGGATGTTCACAAATTTTTAAAAGACCCCCCTTCTCCACTTAAAAAAAATCCACATGCACAACCCTGTACCCGCTCCTGAAATGGAACGCCTATTAAACGTGAGCAAGAGTTTAAAAGTCTGTATAAACTCTGTTTAAAAGTTGCTGTTTCTATTACTCATACAAGCTTACGTTCCACAAGAAGATTTGCAAATGATGTCAGATGTCAGACACCGGTAAGTGAAAACTGGTATGAGCACATAGGACGGCCTTACGTGAACAAATCACCAGAATGATTGACAATTAGCAGGACCACTTGAACCACTTGGAAAAAGAACATCCTCCTTTAAGTCTTAAAATTCCCAAAGGAAAAATCTTGCTCAAATTGTTTGTAAAATTATTAAAAAAAACAACAACCAAACACTGAGATCAAGAAGCATTTTTACAAAGATAAAGACGTCATTATGATTTTTAAACAAAGATGCTGGCTGAATGACTGAATGCAGAGTGAAACGCCTGAACTTGATAGAGTGCTAATTATGCACAGGCAATTTTTACAATTTCTTTGTTATAACAGACCCGAGCAACATTACTGAACCCAATCATTCTATTTCACACACCCTTCTTCACACTCTAGTTACACCAAGATCCCATGCCAGAGGAAGTCTGACCTGTGCCCAGAGGTTACAGGTTGAGAACTGTGGCTTCATTGCAAATGTACTGTATACGTTTACATGCCAGATATCCCTGGAAAATCTTGAAATTCTTTTTAAAGGCTACATTTTCCTGTTTTCAGTTCATTAGCTTTAACAGTAGAGAGAAAAAAGGAATAATGTGTAATAGTTTTTTTCATGTTTTTTTTTTCTTTAGGAAAAAGTCAACATAATTCCTTACTCTGGATAAGAGCTGGGCTTGGTCTCAGCTGATAGATTGACAGCTACAATGATACTGGCGGTAACACCAACCTCAGAAAGTGATCATGGTGATGATGATTCACCAGAGAGAGGAGATATTGGCAAAGAGAGAAAGGGTCTGTGGAAAACACGCATCAGCCATATTTTTCCAGGAGCAGTTTTATTAGAACACTGTACAACATCCATGCATACAGTTTATTAAAATACAGTAAGCAAGCTTTAAATATGTAGTGTCAAAGTACATTGACTCTTTTCGAGTTATTACAACAACTAGAGTAAGATATACACTATGTAGAGAGTTAAGTTAACACCAATTCAGAATGGGACCAAATGCACTCACCTTGGTATTAAACTTAACTCTTAAAGTATTACTTTAACACTGCAAAAATTACTGTGAAAACAGGTTTATTTGGGGCTGGTGTGTCTTTTAACCTTAATTCTGAGTTTAAAACATTAAATTACTGACGATAAATGATGGAACACAAGGAAAAAGTTCATGGCTAATAAAGCTATTTTACAAAACTCGTTAGCCGTCTGGTGAATTTAAGACTCTTTAGATACATTTGTGATATTATACTTCATTTGGTTGACTGAAGAAA